CACTTGTATCACAGTATGGTACCTTGCTAGTTCTGTATTCTAGTGATTCGTCTCTTGCTTAGGGCTTGTATAGTAATCTCCTGCTTGTGTCCTACTAGCAATGCAAAAGAAACTTCATTCAAGTGAAAATACAGAAAGAACACTTGAAATGAAGATTTTTTTTTTTTTTCTGAGAGTCATGCTTTTCTTTTGATGAGTGCACTTGATAAAATGCCTTCACCCACCCACAGCTCCCTGCCTTCTCTGCATTTCACTGATAACGTGACCCACCGCACTGAAACAGTATTATTTCCTGAAAGGCTGTAGGCAAGCGTGATGATGAGAAGACAAAAAGGGAAGTGAATGTGAAACAGAATGGGAGAGAAAGGAATTGTGCATATGTATGAGGAAATCAGAAAAAAATGGTAAAAAAAAAAAAGGTGTGATTAGAGTTGGATATAATAAGGGGGGAAATAAGTACATATTCCTTTTAACATGTATGCTTCATAGAATACAGAGGAATAGTTCTACCCATGTCGTTATTCAAAATTCCCACCGATTTCTGAGGGATATGAATGTTGGAAATGAAGATAGATTTTAATGACATTAGCATGAGTTTAGTGTTAGTATAATGGAGTTGTATTATATATTATTATATTATAATGTTAGTATATTTTGGAAAATTTTGAGAGCAGACAAAACAATCCTTTTCAGAAGCTGTGTTTAAAAAATATCTTTGCTTAAAGGAAGGACAAATCAGATATAAAAAGAAGGGTATTTTGTATTTTATTTACATAGACCTTAACTGTTTTTAATGTAATTCCAGATTTTTTTTTAACATATATCTATATAAGTACACACACTCTTTTCATCAATTTGCCCTTTCCACAAGTATGTAAGAAATAGTAGTTAAGAACAATTCCTTGGTGATGATGTTTACAAGCAAAGCTAGTTAGATTTGTAATCAAAGGAGGATTGGGGACAAGAAAATTATCCCGGCAGAGGAATACCAATCCTTCTCAAACATATGACAATACTCTTAATTACCTTCAGCAGGGATGGATTCCCTTCTATATGTTTTTCAACATAACTTTGAAATCTTCCTCATTGCCAGTCATGTCACTTCTTTGAGCCAGCACTTACTTTAGTTTTAGCTGGAACTCTCCTTGAGTGAACCCTCAGTAAAAAGCCTGTGCATCACTTAAGTTCTCGTGTGCTGATAAATTTCACTTTTTAGCCTGTCCTAAAGCAGTTGTTCGCTCTGGTCTCCCCTTCAGAGTTATTAATGGAAGGAAATGCACCCTATTTCATGAGGTCATATTTTATACGCCTATGTTTGTACATTTTTAGTCTGTTCAAAATCTTCTGGTTTGTACCAACTGTTAACATTTTGCTCCTGACAAAGCATCAGCTGATAACAAACAGCTTTGGCCCTGAACACATGCCTAATTTTTATTCCATAATTTTATCCCATGAAGCTCTTTATTATTCTGTATTCTCTCTACTGTGAGCAATATCCCACAAGTCATTGCCAAATTGAGCAAGCTCTGGGCCTAATTGTGACAAGAGAAAGAAGACTGCTTATTGTTAACAGATATGATAGGTGAATAATAAATCAAAGCAAGAACTTGGGCAACAGCATTCATGTATTTTAGCGTGTTGGATGAATTTGGAAGTGTGGAAAATCAGAATGCTCTTGGGATATTCTGCTTTTTCTTTATCCCCAACCACTTCTTAATCACAAAGTTAAGTAATCTAGTATTGGCAAATGACAGCTTAGCACCCAAGCTTGCCTATGAGACTACACACCAGACTTTTCAACCAGAATATGAATTTTGATTTGTAATTTAACACTTACCTATTTAGAAGTGGTAATTTCATCTAGAGTCTGGTCCGTGCCCTAGGGAAATGTTTAGACCTGTACTTAACTCTCCTGGATTGATTAATGTACCTAAAGCTCTTTACGTTTCCTTCTGGATCAGGACGGATCTGGATCAGAACATGTTTCTCAATCAATACAAATTTTTCATTGAATATCATTTAGACCATAGCAAATGTGGAGTGATCAACAGAATTGTCAGGTGCGGTGATGAAACTTCTAAGCAACTGCAAAACAGCAATCAATCTGTCATCTGTGGCACTGACCTTCTACACGTATAGCTGGTGAGGAGGAAAGACAGTTCGAAACTTACCTGAACCAGCACTGGAAAAGACCCCAGTCTGGTTTAGAATATCTGAATAGCTGTCATGTATCACATGAATTTCAGGGGCCTTATCTGATCTGTTATGGTAGGCTGTTGAAGCTTCATCAGAATGAATCATCTAATTGCTTTGTGGTGTCTGATATACCAGTTTGCACCAACTGGTACTAATAACTGGGGAGCATGGGTTTAGTATTTAGGTAACTGCAAGTCTTGAGTGGCAGATACAGACTTTAAAAGAAAAGTTCCAAGGTAAATGATTCTATAATGTTGGAAAATCATTGTGACATTAGTATTACTGAGAATATTAAAAATTGTGTTTGTCTGTTGCATCATATTTTATTCAATGCATTGCCATTCTTTTGCACTCCATTGAAATGGTTCTTGCTAAAGAGAGTACCTACCTCTTCTTAAATCTCAAAACCATCCTCTTTGATGTATTACCTGCCATCAGTGATATTCTCCTTTCTAGAATCTCATTTTTTCTTGGTTTCAATGGCCTTGTTATTTCCAAGATCTCCTCTTAACTTTCTGATCATCACTTCAGTAAGTGTCTTTAGAGAGATCTTTCTTGTTACACCTCCACATCATCTCTTCCCTTTTTATTTGCAAGTACAGCTTCAACTGCTGTCTCTGTACATGCAGCTCACAAACCTGCTTCGTTAATCCAGACTTTCTCCTTCCCATCACACCAAGGTCCCTGTCTCTTAGATGGTCCCTTTTGAATGATACTGGCTATGTCTCTACCAGCAGATAGTGTGGAGTGGAGAAACAGGGGCAGATGAGGAAAGCAAAAGAGATGGTGCTGAGGACCTCACGCCCACATTGTGTGCATCATGCAGAGAGGTTATTTCAGACTAGCTGTGATCTAGTAACATGGACTGGATGCCCACTAGCAGTTGAAGCACTGCTTGGAGCAAGTCTTTGAACATGGGGTTAGAGTTAGTTTCATCTGCAAGTTCATGAGCTCTAAGACTGCTCTATGATGCAAACTACAGGCCAGTAAGTAGAAACACCCTTCTGAAATAAACCCTGTGTGCTTTCTGCCATGCTTCCTCTCATACTTAGAGCTGTATTTTGGCAGATGCCTATTAAAAAGCTTGAGAATTATTTGGGTGGTAATCTACTCTGGCACAATGTACCATGCTGACCAGTTGCCTGCCTCTTTTAATTAAATTGTAAATTTTTTGAGGTGTCATCTCTTTTCCTAACACTGATGCAGCTGAATAATAATTATTTTCTTATACATGCAAATATATTATTAGGAACTTATTCCTATTGCAGCTCATCTACTGTCATCTCTTTTCTATTTCCAGAAAACTTCTCATGCCTTTGTTCTATAAGACATCTGGTCAGTGTAGCTCAGCTACAAGCCAAGGATTGTAAGAACTGTTTCAATTCGCATATTCTCCCAGTCACAAACAGTACAATCTTTGTCATCAGAAAGGAGAATTATGTAAGGTTGCTTCTAGCCATTGTAGTCATTTTGGAGTTGTGTGGTTGGGAGGAGGGTGTTTTATTTCTTTTTTGTGCAGTTAAAGCACAGAATTAAAATGCTTCAAATATTGTTTTATCATTTAGTACTATGCATTCATGTAATCACTAGAATACAGACCTGTTTTTACTAGAGTGGTGTAACTGGCCAGTAGTGGCTCTGGTAGCTATGCTAAAGATGCTAGAAGATGTGAGAATGACCACACAATCAAGACAAGAGCATTGCCAGGTTCAACTATACCAGCAAATTTACAGGAAGAGCTGCAAGGTAGCATTAAATGACACAGGATGAGAAAACCCTCTGTTTAAGCTCTATCATCCTGAAGACTCAGCAGGATATGTGTGGCTCAGTTCATTCCTGCGTGTGAGTCAGTGTGGCCCTTGCTTGACTAGGCTAACCTCCATGAGACCAGCCACTATTTCTTGTGCTTCTGTGTCCCCAGCCGTAAAGGACTGTTGGGCATCTCATGGGTTGGGGGCTTTTTGGGTTTTGGGGTTGTTTTTTTTGTATGCTTTTTAGTAATAACTGTGTAAATTAGGAACTAGTGTTAAAGAAGAAAAATACTATGAGAGTGAGGGTATGGGCACTGTTCAACTGGATGAGATTCCCACTCGATATGGCTAACCACTT